TATATATATATATATATTGGGTTTTAAGCTTTGTCCCTACCCAAGAGTGGTTTGTTTACTAATGCCCAAAACCAGAGCCACAGCATCATAATTCTTTGCCTCTCTCACTAGAACTCTTCTGACAGAACTTCCTGTCATGATCTGCCCAATGAGTTCCACCTAAAATAATTGGAAAAAAAAAAACCATAGTCAAAATCAAAACTAAAAACTCAAAAATTGACAAGAACAAGAAGTATTATTTGACATTTTACAAAGTGAAATGACAACAAAGAACACCTTTTTTACGCTACATAGGCCTTGGTACACGTCTAGATAATCATCTAACGTGGGCTTCTCTCTCAAAGCATGATCTGCACTTAAAAATAAATAAATAAATAATGCACTAAATTTACTAAGAGAAAAGAAAAAAAAAATAAAACTGGGAAAATTCATTACCAGAACTTGGGCGAACGTAGATTGCAATTACAGAATCTCCAGGTTCTGCAACTTTGACAAGAGCCCAACTGAGCACTTCTCTGCTTTCACTATTTATCCGAATTCCGACCAACACATTCTTCTTCTTCTTCTCATTATTAATGGTGTTGGTTTTAAATTCCTCAACTGTCATTTGAAGCTATCTGATCTCTCTAATTAGTACACACACACACACACACACACACACACACACATATATATATATATATATATATATATTGTTTTTCGGCTTGCAAATGTGCTGGGAATATTCATTTCAAGTACTCTGCAACAAAACATCCGACATGGAATTTGATAAAGCTATAAGAAGATGATGATGAAGATGAAGAAATTCAATGCCTCATTAATACTATAATTAATGTTGCCATTTGTGGATATAAAGGATGCCCACAATGCGATTAGGGATATATATTTGTATGCATTATTAAAAAAAATTAAATAAATAAATAAGTAAGACTAAAAAATGCAGAGAAAGAGAAAGGAAGAAGGACAAACCATGAGAATAGTGATTGAATGTTTGCTTCCATCATAAAGATAAATGCGACAGGACAAACAAAATTCTACCTAAAACTTGTATCCATCTGTTTGTTGAAGCTTAAAGCCCACCATTTTTTTTTCTTTTTTTTTTTTTAATCAAGGAAATGCAGCCAAATATACCATCAGCCTACAACCTACTGCAACTAAAATTCAAAGCTTTCCTTCAAATATATAATAATAATATGATTCCTGTCTGTTATAAATGATTAAAAAAACAGGCTACCTTAAAAAAGAACGTGGGGATTATGGAAGCTTAGTAGTTAGCATCAAGGGTAAAACCATGAACATTTTCAAGCCACTTGCCTAACGCCCCTATTATTAGGGAGTTTTTTTAACTAATCTTTGCTCTTTACTCGGCTGCTACTTTGGCCAAGTGGCAGCTTCTTCTTGATTTTTTTATTTTTTTTATTTTTTTTGGGATTGTTTCTAGTAGGGCCTCAGGTAGGATTATTTCCTTCTTATGTATAATCAGATTAAAATCACGTTAAATTAAAAAAAAATATAATTTTTAATATAATATAATTAAAAATAAAAAATTACTAATAGTTTAACTTTTTAAAGTCTTATGAGAGAAACTTTCTTATCTTTTATTGATTTTTTTTTTTTTACTATTTTCAGTTTTTGATTTCGTTTGATTTTTTAATTTTTTTTACCCTTTTGTCAAATGATCCTTAACAATTTTTTTTTACCATGTACAAGCGTTTCTTTAAAATCATTCTTTCTTCACTCAGCTCTTATCAAAATAATATTTTTAATATTGTCTTAGCTTTTTTTTGTTTCTCTTTTCTTTTTTTTTTATGGATTTCTTTTTCTTTTTGCTAAAAGTAACTGTGCAGTTTAATCATTATTATGTGCTTATTTAAAATAATTTTTTTTTCTTACTTGCTCTTTTTTCAAATGTATTTCTACTTAACTCTTTTCTCTATATTTATTATATAAATATGCACTTACTAATCAGGAATTCAATTTCAATAAAAGAAATTAAATTCCTAATTTTAAATTCTTTTGTTTACTTTTACATTTGAGAATTAGACGGAGTAAGTACTAACCATAAATTAGGAATTGAGTTTCTTGAGGAATTGTGGCAAACGTTGTGCCCACACCATGTATTCCTCGCATTTTGTTTATTAAGGTCTCGTTTATTTTACTGATTTGATTTTAAAATTTGAGTTTTGCTACAGTAAAAAATTCTCAGAAACAGTCACATTTAACTTTTTTATTATAGTAAAAAACTCTAACATAAAATCACATCTCAACTCGAATTAAAAACTTAAATCAACGAACTAAACTGACCCTAAGTTTGTTGTTATTTTTTAGCTCTTGAACCTTAGAATCTATTGCATGCAAATCCTTTATTCAGTTTAATGAAGGGAGGAAAATATTCAATTGCTAACTTGTGAATTGTTATGGGAGGAGCTGGCCCCTCCAGTTTACGTAGGCCTTGTGGTTCATGGTTCAATTCAAATCAGTATTCGAAGCAAAAGAGGTTGTAAAATGCTTTGGTCAAAAGTCTTTATAATTTAGACAACAAAACACATAGGGTATATAGTTCTTCCTTTTGAAATGACATAGCATAATATGATTAATTAGATACTATTTGATACACTAAAAGTCTCAATTATTAGAACATAATATATGCACGTTTCATGCAAAACCAATAGAATCAACTTTACGATGGCTGTTTGAGATCACTAAACGAACAAATAACTATTTCTTTTTCTTATAAATTCTCACACTAATAATTATGAATTATATGATGTCACATTATATAATCTGAATTTTAGATTACTATTTCCGAAGTTTAAACTCAAATTCAGATAAATAAATTGACTAGTTTTGATTTTCAAGTCAATGTATTAGCTATAATGTTATTTTCAGATATATTTATTTGTTGCTTTGAGTATTCAAATAATAGGACGATCCATTATTGGGACTAAAACTTAAGAGTTTATATGCATTTATTAGTCACTGATAAAAGTTTGTTTAGTCCCAAGAACTTAAGAGTTTATATGCATTTATTAGTCACTAATAAAAGTTTGTTGATAAAAAAAAATACATAGTAGTTGAAATGTGATATCATAAGTTCTTTTCAGAGAAAAAGGGGAAATTTTCATTTTACTACCTTCTATTATATAAAATTTAAGTTCGGTATCATTTATTTTAAAATTTTCATATCAGTACCTCGACCTTTTAAAAAATCATTTTTTTGGTACCTCGGAACTATTTTTGGGGACACGAAAAAATAAAATTACCCTTATTGTAAAAATTCATATGTTAACTAGGATTTTGAAGGGGAAAAAAGGATTTTAAAAATTGTTATACCTGTAGAGCATAATCCTTTTTTAAAAATTCATCTCTTCAAAATCTTTTTTTTAAAGAGAAGGGGAAGAAGCGGGGTAGATGAATTGGTCGACTCATCAGGCTCATGACCTGAAGACTGCAGGTTCGAATCATGTCTCCGCCTAATCAGTGGAACATTGTTCACCAGGATAAAAGGCCGGTCCTAACCTGTGTACCAATTGCATTTCATGAAGATGGACATTGGCTAGGGAAGGGGATCCTTATGACATATAATCGGTACAGTCAGTATATAATATTATTACTATGAATAATCGTTCCACCCTATTCTCAACTCTACTACGATTAGTGCCTCTAAAATTGCAGAGAGTTTTTGAACACTCTCGGATGATAAGTATTAGCAGGTGATTGGGTGGACTTTCACTCCCTCAGGAATGTTTCTCATGGAGGCCAGTGTTGCCAATACATTTGCGAACTTTTTTTTTCTGGGTAGTGGAGTGAAACTAGGATCCGATAAACAGGGTAGCCCCAGCTTGGGACTGGATTGAATCTTTTTTTCCTAGTAGCGCACCTTTTACTCATTCCAAAATCATCTTTCTTGTACCTCGATAACAAAATCCCACATGTACTATCACGAGGAACTGGCTTTTACAATAATGGTAATTTTATCTTTTTGTGTCCTAAAAAATGGTTCCGAGGTACCAAAAAAAGATTTTTTAAAAGGTCGAGGTACTAGCGTGAAATTTTCAAAAATAGAGGGTATCAAACTCAAATTTCGATATAATAGAGGGTACCAAAATAAAATTTTCCAAAAAAAAAAATAAGTGATGAGTTATTAATGCAATACAAATACAGATCAAAACACCGAAATCGTTGAAAGCGAATTTGAAAATAACTTCAAACCATGTATGTACTCATGTTCTTTTAATCCTTAAAAGCAAAACAATAATAATAATAATAATTATTATTATTATTAATAGAATAAAATAAAAAATACTTATTCTCCGGAAATGTAATTATTATAAAGAAAATGCGTTGATCTTCAACTGTCAATGTTAATTTAGATTGGCGTTTGGCAGGCTTAAGAGAACCAAAATCAAATTGTGGAATTTCATTAATTAAAGAGAAAAAAGAAATCAAAATGTGAGTAATAACAACGATCAAAGCACATCAATCGCTAAATTGAAAAGAATTAAAATCTACATACTTTGTTGTGTGTCAACTTAATATTTTATCACATGTATAATATCGTTTTAGTCATTACATGTATAATATTTTATCCTTGAAATTCAACTAATAAACTCCTAAGATAAGAAAATGATTACATGTTATTTTGATGTATACGTGCTAATTCCACATATATATATTATATATCTATATATATACAAACATAAAATGTTGGATTCTTATTATGTCACACTATTAAATGTCTATATTTGATGTAGATACGTAATTATTAAAAACTCGTTTATATATAAAAACTACCATCTATTTGAAGTTTATTCACCTATCTCTATCTCTTTCTGATAGATATTATTTCCTCAACTTGATAAGAAATGTGATTTATAATGCACATCTTTCACGCAATTTTTTTTTGTCCCTTTGGAAAGGCCTTTTGCCCTTTATATTTGTCGTCGAGGTATTTGATTGATGGGTTCATTCTATTATTTTGACTAACCGAAAGCTATACTAAACTTTATGATTCTGATATGTGTTACATGCATGTGTAATGAGTGGTCGATATATAATGATCTCAGGAGAATAAAGTTAGTAGCTTTGACGATGACACATATAATCCAAAGTTCCTTTTGAGTTAATGAAGGTATAATATTTGTTTATCCTTTACGTGGGTAAGCTGACTTCGTTTACTTTGCTGATTTGAGTTTAAAATTCGAGTTGAGATGTGATTTTATGTGAGAGTTTTTTATTATAGTAAAAAAATTAGATGTAATTGTTTGTGAGAGCTTTAGACTGTAGAAAAACTCAAATTCTAAATTCGAATCAGCGAAATGAACGGTTTGTTAATTTGTCTCTTTGCGTGATTAATTTACACCCTCATAATTGCTTAGATGACTTGTAATACTCGTTGAAGTTTTAGAATGTCATTCGTCATATATCACGTTTTATTTTCTTCTTTCGTTTTCTTTCAACTCTTTGAAAAACTGAATTGCATCTTTCGTGCATTTAAGCAATGACAAAACGAAGCCCTAAAGAAAAGATAGACATGGATGGATTTTTCAGTTTAAATTAAACCACATCTCCTATGGTACTCTTGTCATGTGGCAGCAAATAGTACACATGAACA